TCATGATCATTATCATCATCATCATCATCATCATCATCAGGCTTTAGCATCTTTTTTGTTTCTCTAATATAAACAAGCTAGAGGGTTTTTTTTCTCTACTAAAGCTCATTCATACATATGTAAGGCACTCTTTTCAAGTTTTCTTACTACCACCACCATTTTCTACTGAAGCTGCTACCTCTCTACCTGCTGATGCCTAAATTACTTTAATCTTTTCTTAACAAATGTTGTTCGATACAATATTTTTTCTTCTCTTTTGGCAAATAATAATCCATATAAATACTAAAGTTTATATAACAACAAAAGGATATTGTATGCCAGCATTTAAATAAATAGCAAACACATATGTTTATATCCATGAAATGTATGCATAAAGTGCATGTTCGATGTTTTTATTCCTTTGGAATAAAAGTTTGGAAGCTTTTATTACAAGCATCATTCTACTCCATATTTTTCACTATCTTACGCAGTTGCTTTATTAAACATTAATCATTTTTCTCATCTTTTTCACAAGAACATCTCTCTTTACAACAAATGTCCTTTTATTTTTACAAAAAGCTAATGCAAAAAAGTTGTGTCTGATGTTAAGCTCTGTTATTCTCAGTTTACTAAATCATTTTATCTCAGAGCATAGGTTATAGAGACTTGTTTAGTCTTCAATAGTGTCATAAACTAAAGTAAGTCTAACATTTAATCTCTTATTCATGGGTCTGATTTTTTACTTCTCTCCAGATTAAAGCAGAGTTATTTGAAAAAAAATCTTACTCTAATTTGACTCTTGATTAAAATGGCCAAACTCTTCCTGAAAGTTAAACAGATTAACTCATTGTTATCCAAAACACTCTGGTTTCTAATGCTAAAATTAATTCTCAATTAAACACTTCTACAGTTTGTGCTACAAAATAGATTTCCATCAAAGTCTTAAAAAAGTGTTCTCCAGAACTCTTTTTAATTATTGCTAAACTTTTATCAAGTGCTAAATAAGTGGTTCCAATTTTTAAAATTCTAGAAAACACTTTGACCTTTCCAACTATCCTACAATTAGCTTTTACTATGTTATTACTTTCTTTATATAAAGGTTTTGAGGTTATTAAATTATTTTTTTCCAACTGCAGTAGTAACGTTATTCTTGAAGGCCAACCCTCTTCTTTATTTCAAGTAACTTTAAACTTGCCACAAAGTTCTACCTTTGCTCCTGTATTGTTTTTTTATCTACAATAACAATCTTCATGAAATCTAAAGTGGCTCTATTTCTCGACGAGTCAACTTAATACTCTTCTCTTGACAAAAAATCTTCACTTTTGATTGCTTAGAATAATCAGCTGATTTTTAATCTGATCTCTCTTGTGTAACAGCCTTACAGTGCTTGCTGTAAGGCTTGTGTAACAGCCTTACAGTGCTTGCAGTGGCTTGTGTAACAGCCTTACAGTGCTTGCAGTGGCTTGTGTAACAGCCTTACAGTGCTTGCAGTGGCTTGTGGATTTTAAGTCTGGATTTAAAATGTTCTTTTATTTTTGTTATTTTAACAATTTTTGTTAGACAAAAAAACTCAAAACAAAACTTTATTTGATAAATAACAACATTATTACCCTCAAACAAAGTCTAAAAGCACATTAACAATGTAATTAGAACTGCTTTATTTTATGTAATTAGAACTGCTCATATTTTACTCATTACAGAATCCACACTTCCTTGAAAAAAAAAAAAAAGGGTAAGGGCGCTCTATATTTGAGCTCACACCTTATGTGCCATATTTTGGTCCTCTATTTGTTCTGCAATTATCTGAAAAAGCATTATAAGATATCTAAAAAAAATTATATATTAAAAGAAGTAAAAACATACTACAGACCAATTTGCGTATTGCTGATGTTTTTTCAAGAGCATTTTTAAAATCAATCATAATCTTAAAGAAAAGACATTTATTGCAAAGACAATTACCTATTTCACACAAGAAAAAAAGTGCAAACTTATCAGTGTAAACTGATAAGTTTGTGCTTTGATAAGTTTGTAAAATTTTGTAATTTGACCAGAAAATAAAATAATTCTTACCTTGGTTGCAACAAACTAATTTCTTTTTAAACTATAAGCTAATGATCAACATAGTAAATTTCAAATAATTAAAGTTTACTAAGTTAAAACCATATTTTATCAGTAGAAAAAGTAAACTTATGATAGTTGGTAGAGCACCAAAACAGAACTAAAGTAATAAAAAAAAACTAAATTTAAAATGTTTGTAATACGTATTAGTTGCACTTAAGCATGAAAAAGAACTCTACCATCATGAGATAATAAAGATAAAATAAAACAAACAAACAATTATAATAAAAGAGTATAATACAATGTTCATTTTTGAAAAAAAATACTATCCTTTTAATTTAAAAACATTACTGTTTTCATGAACCAGGTAAGGATACATAAATAAAGAACATACACAGTGAAAAATTGATTTTTAAGTCCCATTCCTACAAAGTTTTTGTAAATACTTATTAGATACCCCCTAATTCAATGATTATTATGAAAATTATAAACTGTATTCACAAAATCTTAACTGAAAATAAAATGTTATTTTGACATGGAGAATTACTGTCATTGCAACAAATCACCTGAACATGCAAAAAATTAAAATTTTATTATTTTACATGTTCTGCTGACTAAAGTTTTGATGGTGTTTAGTGTAGAAACAGAATGTTTATCTTTTCACTAAAATTTTTTTATAAACATAAGTTAATATATATAAAGAAATATATTTTTTTACAAATTTCTTTTTTTACAAGTAACAACCTCCAAAAAAAAATCAATAAAAATGTACATATTAAACTACATCTTCTATTTCTAGATATAGTTTTGTATTTTTCCCTGCCCACTCTAACTCCTCCCACTTAACTTTTAAGTTCAAATCATCATCAGCTTGCATTTTTTTAGAATATTTGTTATTTAAAATGCAAAACAAAGTAACTTTCTTTTGAAACAAACTTTTTTCTTCAAAAGCGTTTTACTTTTTATTTTAGAAATTTCGAAAAACATAAAATTAAAAAAAAAAAAAAAAAAGCTGATAGTTGGAATCAAACTCCTAACTTTGAACCTTGCGTGCTAACCACTCGGCTATGCCGACTCATTGATCTTGGTAAATTTTAAAACTATATAACATAAAAACTTTATCAAATGGAATTAAGTGCTACAGATCAAATATTAAGAAAATGTTGCCGCAATGCAATTTTTGAAGTGAAAGTAACACTAAAAAGCTTGATATATGCTTAAACATATATTTTTAATATATTTTTAACATTACATAATTTGAAGAAAGTTATATATTTGCATAAGTTAGATATTAGCATACGCTTTCATTGACTTTTCTTATATAAAAAAGTGCTGCTACTATTTCTTGCTATTACCTCGGTTGCAATGGCTGCCAAGAGTATCGTGTCAAACACTCTCTAATGAACATCGACATGTTTTCTATTACATAATATGATATGCCAGTATTTAATAAATAATAAATGTAAGCATAAAATTATAATATATAAGTATTACAAATTTTTTCAGCCCCGGCTATCAACCCTTGCTTGATCTTATAGTTTAGCTGGCCGGAGCCAGGTTTAAAAAAAGTCTTATTTTTAGCTGGGGCCTGGGCCCCACTAACTTACTATAGCTAATGATTTTTATAGAAATATTAATGAATAATTTATATACTTTTTTATATTTATTTAAGTATGTATTTTTTGATATAAATGTCTTCAAATAAGAAAAAATTATATCTACTTTTTAAATAAACCATATTTTCTTCATAGTTAAGTTGAATTTTTTTCAGTGTGTTTTTAAAATAAATAATATTTGCGTAAATAAAAATTAAAAAATATATTAATAGCCATTGGCAATCAAATAGAATTTGCATGGTCATATTATGACGTGAATTTATGTCACGCCTTCCTATTATGACGCGAAATCACGTCACGCCTTCCACGCGTGGTCATATTATGACGTAAAATTATGCACGCCTTCCTGGCCAAGCCTGGTGTGTCATTTTTAAATGTTATCTTCCTACCCGCTGACTTTACATAACTGTGCATATATATATATATATATATATATATATATATATATATATATATATATATATATATATATATATATATCTGATAATATAAATACACTAATTTAGTATTATTGTTAGTCGAGTTACGTCATTTTCTAGGCTTTTCTATTTTAAAGTAGTTTCTAGGCAGGTTTTTTTTAAATTTTATTTACTAACAACGCGTATTAGTAAAGTAAAAAGCAAGCGATGTTCCAAAAATTATGGTTTTGTTCAAAAAACACATAAATCTCAATATCTTTCATGCGCATTTTATATATATATATAAAATGCGCATGAAAGATATTTTATACGCTATTTACATATTACTTCTGTGGTTGTTTTATTAATGAGCATCAAAGCCACCATGGTCAAATAGTCAAAAAATATAAAAAAGTCAAAAGAAAAAAAATATAAGCATGGTCGGTTACAGCATGCGATTGCACACCATTCCTGCCCAAGTCTGATACTATAATCTTTAGGCCTGTTTGACTGTCAGAGTTACATATTTTGCATTGTACCTTTGGTTGATGGGTCTTCAAACTACCCTGTTGTAACACATGTACTGAGTGAAGGTTGATTCATATATAACAATATACACACACTGATATATATATGTATGTATGTGTATATATATATATATATATATATATATATATATATATATATATATATATATATATATATATATATATATATATATATATATATATATATATATATATATATATATATATATATATATATATATATATATATATACATTTACATATATATGTATATATGTATATATATATTTACATACACATACACACACACCTGTACATGTTTGTTTTTTTTACATGGACTTATATATCACTTATGTTAGATTTTAGTCAAACTAATCATAAAATAGTTTGAAAAAATAATTTTTTATTTTATTGTTTTTAAGCTCCTAAAATAAAAATTGGTCCACAAAATATATCCTTATCACTTGGTGATTATGCTGAACTCACTTGTGTTGCTCGTGGCAACCCTGTACCTTCTATCAAATGGATGAAAAACGAAATGTTAATATCAGATTTTAATCGCTTTCATATTAAAAATGAAAAGTTTAGGTCAGGTTTTAAATAAAATTGTTTGGACATCTATTAATTTTGTTCAAGTATAGTTATCTATAGTAATTCTTATAGAATCAGTGTATTTTTTAGATTTAATTTTTAAATTTTAATAAAATATTTTTAAGATTAAAATAGAAAATTAAAACAATAATAATAAACTAAATAATTTTAGAGCAAAGTCAAATGGCCCTATTCGTGGAATTAATTCAAAGCTTGAAATAATGAAAATTGAAAATGAGCAATTTGGTACCTATAAATGCCTGGCAAAAAATAGTAGAGGAACATCAATTAGTTCAAATGGTATCATAACCCTGAAAGCTCGCAGTATGCAAATTTAATTTTTTGATATTTTATATTTTTATTCGAAAAGTTCAGCAAGTTTGTTATCATTTTAATATGTGATTTGCAACTTAAAATTTACTTCTTTTATACTATTAATATTCTCTTAACTTTTTATGATGGAAATATTCTTCAAACTTTTTTCTAATGGTGTAAATATGCTCTTAATTTTTTCTGAAAGCTGAAAGTCTGAAGGAAAGCTGAAAGTCTTAAATTATGAAATTGTTAAATTATTTTGCTTCATGTTTATAATATTATTATACATGAAGAGACTTAAAATATATGTTTTATAATGGATTTTTTTGAAATAAATATATACATTTTCTATAAGAGAGGCAATGCTAAAAATTTTAATATTTGAGTTTTGTCTGAGTTTAATTTTACCAGCATAAAGTTATCAGTCTGTTTAAAGCAATCAAAGTATGCTTACATTTTATCAAACAGAAATATAGCAAGTTTATTAGCTAATAAACCTATTATATACGATATTAAATGGTCAATAATAAAAGTTAAAAACAAAAATTGTAACTTTAGCTCTAAACCAGGTATGGAAGTGTTTTTTTCTGAAATTAAAGTTACTAATATAATATGCAGTAATAGATTTAATAAATACTTCATGAATAAATTTCAGTTGGCTACATAAAGAAAAAGTAGTAAGGACATTTTATATAAAAACTTAGGTCTTTTAAGGAGCCATATCTAGCATTAAAATTGGCATTGATAATTTTGACATAGCACTAATAACTGGCTACAAAAAAGAGAGTCCTTATTTTATTATAATTACAGAATCAATAAAAAAAAAGAATAAAAAAGTTTTAAGTTGCTTATAAATTTAAATAAATTTTTGAGATTTTAATTTGCAAAGAAATTGTTTATGGCAATGCTAATATTGCAAAAAAGGTATAAAAAATCTATTAAATCACCTCATGATGATAACATGATTATTTTTTTCCTTCAGTCTTAATCCAACCTGGAATATGGGGTGGTATTTGATCTATTAAGATTTTTTTAATATAAAAGAAGTGATAATTATAAGTATGTTGTTTACAGCTGACTTGTAGAGTGCAGAATATGTTTGTGCTATATATAAGTCTGCAATAATCTTTCTGTCTCTATCACATTATTAGTGAGATGTAGAACTATGATGATAATATCAGCTAATTAGTGAAATGCAATTCTAAGATGGTAATATTATCCCATAATTAGTAAGATACATAGTTATGATAATAATATTATCACGTAATTAGTGAGATGCAAATCTATAATATTATCACATTATTAGTGAGATATGCTATGATCATAATATTAGTTTTAGTGATGATGTTAATAATTTATGTTGATAGAAAATTTTTTCTTTTTTTAGAAACTAACTTGCTGCTTCCTGAAAAGTAAGTCATGTTTAAAATTTAGTGACACACCCAGGTATTGAATTGTAGCATGTAGATGGGAGCAGGTTTTTTAAAACAAAACTTGGAACTGATAATTAATTATAAAAATAGCTGTTTTTTTGAGTAAGAAAACTGATCAAATTTGCCAAATAATTTTCTGATAAATCATTTTATATTCTAAATGGACTTTACTTATCTAATATATAAGTTATGATTTAAATAATCAAAGGTCTTTAGCCTAATATTAGGAACCTAAATAATCAAGGGCCTCCTAGGAGTAGGTAAAATTGCAAATTTTAGTTTTTTTTGATCACATTTGCCAATCCAAATCCAAACCAATTACAGAAACTAATTTTAAACTAACTTTCATGATTATAAAGTAAATGTATTACTATCACTACTATACTAATGGATATTACATTCAAAAAGAAAAATGTTTTAGGTAAATACACATTTTTTTCTATATATTATAACCCAAAACTAAACTTTTTAGCTCTAATTTTAGTTCTAATTTTACCCAGTGAGCATGGTATCTAAAAAAGACATCTTTTGACTTTTCTAAAGGTGCCCAAAACATTTGAAAGACGTTCAAAAGACAACCAAAACGTTCAAAAGATGTCTACCTTAAGTCTTGTACCCAGTGGGCATGGGACCTATAAAAGACATCTTTTGAATGTTCTAGAGATGTCCAAAATGTTCAAAAGTCCTTTAAAACTCTCCAAAGACATTTAAAAGGCGTCTTTCAAATGTCCTGTGCCCACTGAGTACCCAGAAGGCACAGGACGTTATTTGAATATTCAAAAGACATCCAAAACACTCAAAACATGTTCAAAATGCTTCAAAGACCTTTAAAAGGCGTCTTTTGTACATCTTGTGCTGAATGGGTAGTATAATTTTAAAGATGCAAATAACCTTTGATCATTAAATCAGGCATCAAATCTTTAGCAGCTTAATATAAATATAAAAATATCAATATAAAAATAAAATATAGAACCATATATGTAATTTTCTTAATAAAGCATATTAAAATATCCTATTAAAGTATATTATTTTGTTAAGTACTAAATTGCTAAAATATACATTTTTATTACATTTTGGCAAGACTGTTATAAAAAGTATTTAAGAAAAATAGAAATTCATAAATTCAATAGTTGAACAATGAATGAATATGTCTACAAAATACACTCTATTCTTAAAAAAAAAAACGCAAGAGCTGAGAGGCGCATGATTTTTGTGGCTCTGGCTCCACCCGCTCCAGAGCTCTGGTTCTACTGGCTTCAGAAATCTCCACAAGCCTTGTTTCAATAAATCAAAGAATATTTGAATTTAATCAAAATTCCAAATACAGTTTCCAAGGAGTTGTTGTCAAAAAAAGTTTTATACAACTAATTAATAATGCATATTTAAAATACCATCAATCAGACTGAAATAGCCACCCACAGGAGCTTATCTATATCTCTATATGTTTACAAGTATGTGTGTATATATATATATACATATATATATATATATATATATATATATATATATATATATATATATATATATATATATATATATATACACATATATATATACACACATATATATATATATATATATATATATATATATATATATATATATATATATATATATGTATATATATATATATATATATACATATATATATATATGTGTGTGTATATATATATATATATATATATATATATATATATATATATATATATATATATATATATATATATATATATATATATTTATATATTTATATATATATATATATATATATATATATATATATATATATATATATATATATATATATATATATATATATACCCCATCAGAGAACTTTAACAAGTTGAACTTAAAAAAGAAGAAACTGAATGATGAATTTAATGCCAATTTTAAACTTGATCAGTCCTTTCGATGTGCTGTCCGCGGAGATTCCGTTCGTTGTATTGACAACACCCAAAAAATTATTATCAATGGAGTCGGAAAACATCCCTTCGTGGAAAAAAAAAAGGGCAGATGCAAGAAAGGTTAAAACCATTGACCTATCATAATCAACATCAATAACCAGTCAATAAAGCAGTCAACTATAAATCTAACAAAGTATTAGATACACACCAAGCATTAAACCCAAAATCATCACCTAAAAAATTTTTAAGCTGTTTAAAGCTGTTAAACCAATGCTACATCTTTATACCAAAACGAACTTCTTGAACTTTCACTAGCTGTCTCTAACTATAAATATGATATTATTTTTATCACAGAGACCTGGTTTAACAATTTTTTGACTACTCATAGTGGTGATCTACTCATAGTGGTGGTATTGCAATTTATGTTAACTGCAGCTTCACTGTGTTACGTTGTCTCCAAATATTAACGTATGGTCCTTTAATTACTACGCTTTAGATAATACGCATAAATAAATGTTACGAGTTACTGATAATCCAAACAACACTTCGTAACAACTTATAACAAATATAAATACTAGTTTCAATTGTCCCGATATATTATATAAAACCGTATAAATATAATACAACTTGTTTTACTATATCATCTATTATCTTCGGCTCCTCAACAACTTCAATCGCTTCTTCGACTCCTTCAACCGAACCACGAACGTTTGTTAACTGACGTTTTTATACGTTTTGTTTAAACGCTAGACGCATTTCGGTTCATAAACAAATTGTTTTGGTACGCTAGCGTCTATGCTACACGTCTATATGGTTCAATAAACTTGAATTACTCAAGCGTTCCGCTTGAGTAACCCACCTTCGTAACAACTGCAAGCAAAATTTAAAATTTTCAAAGATTTGCTGTAAAACATTCAGAACAACTCTGACTCAAACTCACTTTGAATCACAAAACTCTTCTTATCGGTTGTATCTATTGCCCACCAACTAGTGAAATAAAATCTTTCAATGAAATTGTTAACACTATTTCTTGTGCGAAATCGTTTATTAAAAAAAAAGAAGTTTGCAGACCTTATAATTACAGGTGATTTCAACTTTCCGAACATCAAATAGAAAAAAGGGTGGATATACACCTCAAACCCTGAAAACAGTTTAGATAGTTTGTTAACATTATCAACAGTTTATATCTACATCAACATGTCACTATACCAACCTTTATTCAATCCAATGGGTCAAAAATATTCTTGACCTAATAATTAGCAAATCTGCCAATCGTACAAGTGAGATTGTTGTTGGTCCGCCATTAGGAAATAGTTCACAAGGTCACTGTACTCTATCCTGGCATTATCAATTAGCTGATGACCGCACCAACTTTAATCGTTTTACTAGTTTAAAATTTATTTATAATAAAGGAAATTATATTCAATTTAACAGTTACCTGTTTAAACAGAGGTGGGAAAATCTATTTAAAAACTTAGACGCCAATGAAAGCTACCAAATTTTCTGCAATATCTACAACAAAGGTTGCAAAAAATTTATTCCATTCATCCATTTAAAACAAAATAAACTACCAATCTGGGTAACAAAATAACTTTTATTACTAATTAAACAAAAAAAAGAACTCTGATTTCTCAACCGTAATTTTTGATTGCCAATACATTGAACAAGGTATTCCAATCTGTCTTTACTATTGAGCCTCATAATCAAAATCTACCTCTGTTTGCTAAACTCTCATCTACCTCTCTCTTAAACTTTTCATTTGAATCTGTTCAAAAACATCTTGAGGCACTTGCTCCGCTTGCCATGATTTTCAAATTGTCAATGGAACAAGCAATTGTACCAAAGGCTTGGCTTGTAGCTAATGTAACTCCATTGTTCAAAAACAGTTCTAAGACTGACCCTACAAATTACAGACTAATTTCCATCACTTCTGTACCATGTAAGATAAAGATAAGGTCATGCATCACTTATTATCTAACGATCTTCTCTCCCAATGTCAACACTGATTTGTCAGCAAAAAATCATGCACTACAAATTTACTCGAAACTATGGAATTTTTGACTTACACTGCATCACAAAAGCTACCTGTTGATGCCTTTATTCTCGATTTTGCCAAAGCATTTGACAAAGTTCCTCACAATAGGTTACTAAAAAAGCTTGAATCTTATGGAATTATTGGAAATGTTTTAAATTGGATTAGTGCCTTTCTTTTTAACAGAACAAAACGTGACCTCCTTAGTAATGTTGCATTTGATTGGAAACAGGTTACTAGTGGCGTTCCTCAGGGCTCAGTTCTTGGTCCAACACTATTTATAGTCTATATTAATGACTTACCAGAACACATAAGCAGCAAAATAAATGCAAAATGTTTGCAGATGACACAAAAGTCCTCAGTGTAGTTAACACTTTAGAAAGCAAACTTGGTCTGCAAGCTGACATTGATAATATTGTCAATTGGACCCAATTATGGCTCATGCAACTTAACATCAAAAAATTTAAAGTTATGCACATCAACCAATCCAAATCTGTCCCTCACATTTACTTCATCAATGAAAACGACTCCGATAGCAGAGTCAAAAGAATCCAGCTAGTAACAACAACATTGGAAAAAGTTCCAACATTGGACCTTGGTGTTCAACTATCTGTTGATCTAAAGTACAAAAGTGTTCACCGCTGCTGCCAAAGTTAACAAAATCTTAAATATGTTGAAGCACACCTTTGTTAGCAAAAATGTAAAAGTCTGAAAAAACCTCTATACAACATACTATGTCCACATCTAGAATAAGCTATCACCACCTGGTGCCCTCACCTTAAAAAAGACATTACTGAAATTGAACAAATACAACATCGTGCCACAAAATTACCTCATGAATTAAAGTACCTTGATTACAAGACAAGATGTGATATATTTGGACTAACTTCACTAAGTGACAGAAGAAAACGTGGTGACCTTATCCAAAAATTCAAAATTGAAAATAAAACTGAATTAATCAACTGGCATATTGACCCAATATACATTCCTCCCATCTTTGGTCATCACAAACGCTTTCATTGTGAAATTAATAGCAACTGCCT